TTTGTATGAGCTGGTTTGAGTTGAGATTTTTGCAACAAGAACCCTGAAGTGCAGGCACCAATCTAGTGTTAACACCACAGGCCCTTGGCCAAGGCTGAAACTATAAAGATGAACAATAGATGGACCTGCCTTCTAGGAGCCCACAAACAATGAGGGACTAGAACATGCAAACAAATAATTATAGTACCACATGCCAAGACTCATGGTAGAGGTGCTCCAACTGATGCAGAAGCCAAGAGAGGGAGACTTCTGACCACATGCAAAGATGAATCAAACTTCACCTAGGAGTGATAGCCTGCTAAGCTTTAGGGAGTGAAAAGTTCAAGAGGTGACCTGCTATCGGCATCTTTATTAGGTCATTAAGTTTCTTCTTTTGGATGAGTTAGGGTAACTCTTTTTTATTTTTTTTATTTTTTTTTTCCTTTTTGTCTTTTTTACTGACCGGTAATGGGATCGCAACCCTCGGTGTTGCGCCCACACCGCGCCCAGCCAGTGAGCGGGAACCGGTCTCCACATGGGATCCAAACACTCGGCGGGAGCGCCGCTGCGCTCCCAAGCGCTGCACTCTCTAGTGCGCCACCGGGCCGGCCCAAGGGTAACTCTTGATAATAGGATTACTGAGCCAAAGAGCATGGACATATATTTATTATGGCTTTTGCCAAACACCACTACAAAATGCCAAGCCAGTTAGGAAGCAAGTCCCCCTGCCTTACTTAGCCTTCAGACAGCCCTTTCCTCATTTAGAGCTTTGTCTCACCCACTCGCTGTAGCAGCCCACTCCCATTTTAATATCCCCACAGCTGTCTGTATTCACTGTCCCCCAGCTCATCACAGGGGCCCTAAAATGCCACCAACAGTAAAAGGTGTGCCAAAGGGAAATGCTCCAGCCCAGCTTGAGCCTCCAGCCTACGGGACGTTATGGGGAGTGGCGTGGAACAGCAAATTGCTGGGACAGAAGCAATTCATTCTCATGTCTCCAATCACCAGTCTGTCCTGCCTCTGTTTTAGGAATCTCATGTTCCAAGGCCAAATTTGCTAAGTTAAAAGACAAGTTACAGGGCCGGCCCGGTGGCACACTGGAGAGTGCGCCGCTTGGGAGCACAGCGGCGCTCCCGCCGAGGGTTCGGATCCCATGTGGAGACCGGTTCCCACTCACTGGCTGAGTGTGGTGCAGGTGCAACACCAAGGGTTGCGATCCCATTGCCGGTCAGTAAAAAAGACAAAAAGGAAATAAAAAAAAGGCAAGTTACAGAGATAACTCGCCTGATAAAGTTCTACCCTCTCTCCTCCACATGGGGCTGTCTCAACAATTAGGATCAATTCCTTCAGGAAGTTTTCATTTAGCACTGACTATGTAGCCAGTGGATGAGAATTCACGATAACTCCATCGTAGATGGTCTGGAGTTTCCCCTCATAGCTCGGCACAGAGAGTACTTGCTCTGGAGCAGCTGTGATAGGAAAGAGCCCTGACTGCAGTCAGACAGAATCGCTTCTGTCACTTGCATGTCGTTTGATTTTGTTTCTTCTTTCATTCATTTAACAACTATTTAAAGCTCCCTAAGAGGCAGCATGGTACTGCAGTGTTAAGAGGAAGGAGAAGGGACAGACAGAACTGGAGATGAGTCCTGCCTTTGCAACTCACCGTATTTCATTAAATCAAGGACAACATGGGTCACAGGATGAATCATTTAATGTACCCCCAAGAAAAAAATGCTGCCAAACTATGACACAATGATTTCTTGTCACTTGGAATTTTATTTTACAGTTACTAAAAGAGCTCATTAGACTTACTTGTATTTTGACATAGGCTTTTATTACATATACATAAAAGTAAAAGTATAAGCAAAATAAATCGGTTAAGTTTATCCAAGCCCTTTGAACAAAGACCACCAGGAAAACACCTACAGCCAAAAAAAGTTAGGTTTATTTACCTTGCTTGAGTAAAGGACAATGTGCCCTAGGGAAATGCTCAGGACACACTAAGGAAATTCCTTAAATTTGGGTTTGCTTCCATAGTTCTGTGGAGGGATTAGGAAAGTGGGACAGATTCTCGATCGAACGCTGTCAAGAAACAGGCAGTTCAGAAACTGGCTATCTGTGTAATGTTTATCTAGGAGGCAGGAGGATTAATGCAGGGCTAGAGTCATCTTTGATAAAGCAGCAGCAATCAGAGAAAGGCAAAGTCATTTCTGCGGCTTCATCCATGCCTCGGGCTAACTGTGGTTTATGTTCTGCTGGTAACAGACAGTCTGAATATCAGAAGGGCCATCTTTCACTTCCTTTGTATTCCTAAAACTTCACATTGACGTCAGTTATAGAAAGCATCCCCATTTCAGAGACATTAAAATGTGGGGGAAAGTGTTCATCATAGATTTGATGAAGTAAAATTCTTGCTGTACTACCTTGAGCAAGTAATTTTGACCCTTTAAGCCTCACCTTCTTGCTCTATAAACTGGGGGCAATATGATCTACCGCATAAGACTTGTGGGGACTAAGAAATAATGTCTTCCAAGTGCCTGGTACCATATTGGGCATATCATTCAGGATGCAACCAGGAAAACAGAAACCACTCTAAGTATTTAAAACAGAGAGAATTTAATGCAGGGTATTGGTGACGCAGGTGACAGGGATGATGGAAGGGCTAAGAAGCCCACAAGGGACAGTGAGGTGACTCAGAGATTAGCAAAAGCAAGAAGCTGCCCACCACTCCTAAACTGGAAGGACAAAAGGCCGAGATGGAATTGACAGAGCCCAGGGGCGTGGATCAGCCTGCAGATGGTGGGGCCACAGCTACTTCTCCAGTAGGAGCTGGAGCCACAGAGGAGCCTGTCTGCTGCTGGAGACCTGCTTGAGCCCAAGCAAGAGAAAGAAAGAGAATATACACCCTCGTTCTTCCTTACTCCTGCCTTCTTATCTCCTGCCACTGCCTCCCATTGGGCAAACCCAGTCCTGAAGCCAGATGTTCTGGGAGACGGCTCAGCCCACTGCAGTACAGAGCAGAGCAGGACGAGGAAGGGATCCGCAGCGAATGGGAGACAACGACCGTGTGCAGAAGCAACAGGCTTGGTGATACCTTTATTTGTAAAACCTTTAAAGTACTAGATACGCGGGCCGGCCTGTGGCTCACTCGGGAGAGTGCGGTGCTGATAACACCAAGGCCACGAGTTCGGATCCCATATAGGGATGGCCGGTTCGCTCACTGGGTGAGCCTGGTGCTGACAACACCAAGTCAAGGGTTAAGATCCCCTTACCGGTCATCTTTAAAAAAAAAAAAGTACTAGATACGCTTGAAAGTGACAAAATCATTCCCTTAAAAACACCGTATAGTGTAATCTACACGGACTAGTTCACATCTCCTCTCCCGTCCCCTGTACTACAGCGTTTTAAGATAAACTTTCAGCGTCAGTTTGAGTTTTCTCGACTGTCTTGGGAGGGTTTCTGCAGAAGAGGGAGATGCCCGTTCTATGTCACAGAGGTAAAAGCTCACCCAGAGAACGATTACGGTGCAGCACTGTCATGACAACTGGACTGTGGTCTCTGGGCTCTCAAGGACTCGTGTTTAAAAATGGAAACCCTGACAACCGTCGGGGGTGGTTTACGTGAGCCCACACTCCGCTCGGCTCCTCTTCTTCGCCTTCCCTTGTCCAGAAGGGTCCAGAATGGCTTTTGAAAGAGGACGAGATCACGTGCGAGGTCCCGCAGCGGGCACATCAGAAGGAATCCGGTCCCCCTCTCCCACGCCAGGCCCTTTCCACACCCACTCCGGCTCTTTTCCCGCCGAGGAATCTCCTGGCGGAGGAAGGCACGTCCCCGGAAAGGCAACGCCGACCCGATCCGAACCCCGGGGCGCTCTTCATGCCAGAAAAACGCCCGATCGGCTTCTGCGCGGACGGCAACCCACAGCGCCCCCGGCCGGGAGCCCCTCTGCGGCTC